GCACTAGCCAATATCGTCACATTGTGTTGACTAATTGTAGTTTTCCTAGTTCCCCATTTAAGGCTGAGAGTCGCCAGAAGGAGAGCGAGATCTTAGCCGTACTCTACAGTCACCTTTTAAATGTCCGGTTCTTCCGCAGCGGTGAAGTGTAATCTATACCCATTTGCTATGACGTAATTTTTGTTTATCTCTGTTTGGTACATTCCAAGCAGCGGTGAGACAACGTTATCCGGATTTATTTCGTATCCTTGTGTTTTCGAATACAATAAATTTGCCAGAATAGACGTGCTGTAAATGTAAACAACTGGGTTCCCAAAATTCTGGCTGGGTTGTCGATGCATTTTCGTCACGATATAAATACTGATTTGTGTAACTGCTTTTAAGACTCTAGCGGCAATTTAAGCAAATATTTAGTGGATAAAGTTTCTTTATTCAAAAGTCCACGAATTTCCAACTCAAATTAAGTTGTTGTACCTAAGCATATAATCCAGGGCCACTATTTTGAGATCATTGATTTTAACCAGTAATTATTTCAATTTATTTCGAGCATTACATGAATCAAAATTAAATATTAGTCCAAAAATTGAGTTTAATAGTAATACAACAGAAACCTATAGAAAATACTCCAAAATATCAGTTAATGTAAATTTTAATTATTATGACTATTTAGAAATAATTATTGCGGAGTGACAGTGTCCAGTGAATGTGATAAAAAATTATTAGGTAGATGACGAACTAGCGCCATTTATTAGGACCTAATTCCACTCTGGAAGGAATATTAGAAGAAAATCTGTCGTTTCCAAATAGAACTGCTTGAAAGAATAAGTTTATGATTTGTGTATTTTGTTTAATAGTTGTAGTACAAACCCTGTAACTGGAGCGATAAACATTGCGTCAAATAGAAGAAGGTACAGAAAAGAGGATAATAGTAAGGATATCTTTGAGAGGTCATTATATAATATAATTACATACTGACATTGAAGATGTTCTAATATAATACATTAATAAACTTGGAAAAAAGAGAAATACAAGGTATTTATCATCATCGTAATTATTGTAAAATAATGTTTAGGTCAATTCTGGTTTTGTAAATTATTTTAATTTAATTACTGTATAAAGTAGTTAGTAGGAGAAGCCGTTGTGTAAAGACTTTGTATTTCTACAGGTCGTTTTGTAAATTAGAAAAATAGTTATACATAAAAAATTGTTAAATCTCTTATATCTTTGTTAAATAATATTAAAGTTAGAACAGAAAAAGTCAATTATTGATTATCATAATAATAAAACTAAAATTAGTTTCAGTAATTATTGTATAATGTGTAAATGGGGTAGCGGTTTTACTTACCTTTGATTCCTTTGAAAACCAGATATAAGTAGGTACATTGTGATAATAATGAATTCAAGTTTTATTCTTATTCTAGTTATCAAGTTATGCGTAATAATTTTCAATTATTTTAGAAATTATGTAGGTACTTATAGTGAAAACATTTTGAAACACAATGGTGTCTTTTGCATTGGAAGTTAGATGTATTTGAGACAAATTTTGGCCTGAAACCAATTTTCTTTTTCTAAGACTGATTAGAAACCAAAATATCTAACGAATCATTTTTTAGACGGAACAAAACAGTTAATTCGATTATCCAAACTCTTCAGTATAATTCATTTTAATTAACCGTCATTTGAATTGAATTCCTCTATCTATACTAAGCACAAAAATATTCAAAGTCAATTCACTTCATAGTCATTTCACATTGATAAAGTCAAAATAAAACTTGTCAGTAGAGTAGTTACATTTCGTCCTTAACACACTAAACTAGTCTAATTTAATCCTTTTGATTACTTAGAGCTCGCACATAATGTTGAACGAATTTAAATGGTTTTTCTTTCACAATTTTCCATTACTTTATCAAAGTTCGATTTAACGCGTTTTCCCGAGGCAACAAAATGAAAGAAACTCTTCGAAAATTTTATCCGTACTGACTCATTAGGTATTAGACTTAAATTCAAGACTGGACTGAAGACTCAACTGGAATATGAATATTTTAATTAATTTGGGGTCAACGATAATTTGGCGATTTTCATCTCCCACTAATTCTACACCTCTCATGTCTCCTTACAGTGCCAGACTAGAGTCAAGCTCAATAGGGTCTTTTTTCCCCGCTAATTTTTCCAAGCCCGTTCCCTTCGCAGTAGTTTCGCTAGATAGTGGGTAGGGGTAGGGACAGTGGAAATCTCGTTAATCCATCCATGCGCGTCACTAATTAGATGACGAGGCATTTGGCTATTTTTTTTTTTTGTGGAGGGGGTTGTGGAAATCTGCTCGTCAGACACCCCTGACGAGCAGATTTCCACAACCCTGTCTGTTGTTATTTGACGGTGGTGCTGCCAATCTAGCTTACAGACGGGGTAGTGTCGGGATTGCTAACTGGTTTGCCGACCGACTAAAACCTTCCCCCACCTCCCCCCGTCATCTTACGACTGAGCCCCAGTCGGCAGGGTTTCCGGTTCCATTCTCATGTCCGTTACTAGATGCACCTGTGCTTCATCACATCCTCTTCGCTTCCAGGTCACGGCGGGTCTGGCCGCGGAGGCCTTCTCCTCCAAACTTGTGTATTACGATTGAAGAGGGAGTGAACCATAACACTCCCCATGATTGTTCGCACACTGGCACTCAGTCAGGTCAACGTATGACTTCTTGAACCAAATCCCTTTCCAGTTCATTGTAAGGGTTATTGTTTTCGAGCTCCTTGCTCCTGTCAACCTTCTGACAGCATGGTGAAAGTCTGGGCTAGAATATTTAGTCTCTCTCGTGGCATCCGCAAGGTCCAGCTCCATGGCATCGGTGACTACCTGAGCGTCGATAACCAGGGTTTCTCCATTCTTGGTCGCCACGATGTCAGGCTTTAGAATCTGGTTGTCTGAATTAATCTTCGGTTCTGCCACAACAGCAACTAAGTTCCTCTTTAGGTAGGCCGCCAAGGCGTCGTGTCGTTTAATGCGTGGACCGTGTGTTCTCGGGCATTGCTGGAGGACGTGGTTAAGAGTTTCTGGTCTTTGGCATCCAGCTCTGCACGATCGGTCCAACTCAGGTCTGCCTCTGGTGGTTTGTGATAGTGTAGGGAGGGCATTGATTCTTGTCTTTATGCTGTTAATGAAATCCTTTCCAGACAAAAGCTGGGTCGGCTCCCTTATCCACCTATGCGCTCTTGGTACCTTGGCGGTTTCCCTCAGGCCAAGTTCATCCACCATGCCACTCAATTTGGCTTTCCACATATTGTTAATGTCGTCAGTGGACCTCAGGTTAATATTATCACATTGTTGCCGCTTCTCAACTTTATCCAATTCAGCTGCCAAAAAGTAGTTGGTTGTATGAACGGCAGCTGAAGAAGTTTACCCCTTCTCATTATTGGGGCCCCCCATCTAAGTGACGGAATTGCAAGTCCGCCACTTTCGGTGCTTGCATGTATAAATGCCGTGGGGGTATCGTGTGGTAGGTGGAGCCATTTCCTGATACAAGACCTGATATAAGCCCATCCGCTTTCAGGAGCCAGCCCACCATAACGTTGCTCAATGCCAATTTATGATATAACTTGGGAATCAGGTAGACTCGTAAGGCATGAAGTCTTTGTTGGTGCTTTAGTGGGGCTGCTGTCAGTCTGTCGAAGTAGTGGGCCTATGTCGGTATTGGGAAGATACTTAACACGTCTGGTCGGGCTGAAGTTGACGCCGAGATACTTCCAGCTGTCTGCCCTGGTGAGGTATGGAACGTATCTGATTCCCACCTTAAACCTCTTCGGCTACCCCTTGATGCTCACGGTAATGCACTTAGCTGGATTAAGGAATAGCCCTCAGGATTCCAGGTAGTCCGTAGTCGTGTTAAGCATATCTTGGAGTCCAGCCGAAGTAGAGACAATCAGAATTAGGTCGTCGGCGAAGGCGAGGGCATTAATCTTCATTGTGTCTATTGTGGCCCCAATTTCCTTCGGGAGCTTTCTCAGTAGTCTGTCAATGATCATGTTAAAAAGCAAAGGAGATAATGGGTCCCCTTGCTTGACACCTCGTTTTGGATGGACGGGTTCCGATGTCCAGCCCTCGCCTTTGATGTGCGTGGAGGAGTCGCAGCAATAACGCCGTAGATATTTGACGACGGGTTGTAGCAGGCCGGAAGATGGGAGGGTACCGAAGGTGTGAGATGGAGTCGAAGGCCTTACCGACGTCTAGAGAGGCCATGTAGCATGAGGCGAACTTTTTGTGTGTATCTCTAAGAATTAGATCCAGCAGGATTGTATTGTCGGCGCAACCGTCCGTTGGTATGAACGCTCTTTGCCTCGGGTCTAATTTTATGACCTTAGTAAACCGAGACGCTAGTATTGAGTGTAACTGCCTTGGCTCGTTGGAATCGGCTTTCTTGGGGATAAAAGTTGTTGCGGCCTTCCTCTGTTTCAAAGGCAGCCTCCCACACCAGAGATTAAAGTTCAGTATTTTTAATCTGATTAGAATTGGGATTGCGTTCAGCTGCCTTGGGGTGATTCCATCTGGCCCAGGGGCCTTCTGCGCTGGAATTTTTACCTTTTCAATCTCTAGGGATGTGATTGTTGCCCAAACGTTCCCTACAACCTGCTGGATTTCCTCATCCGGGGGTGCTACATTGGACCTTGACTCCATCACATTCCGCCAAAAGGGCTCCATCAGTTCTTTGGCGGGCATTCTCGCTTCGCTTGGACCATCTAGGATGGTTTTGACACACCTTGATTGATGTTTCCGCCAGTTTATTTGTGTCTTGGCATATTCAACACGCCTCCTCTTCCTCTTTGGGATGATTGTGACGTGTGGGTGTGCAGCCTTGTTGTTTGATCTATTTGCTCTTGCTGGGAACATATTGCTTAACAGTAGATTAAGGTTCCTCAGCTTTTCCTGTTTAACTCTCCCCAGAGCTTGTTCAACGATGTCTGTTAGCTCGTGACTGTGGTAGAAATCATTGTTTGGCCTTGTTAGGCTCATCAGGTATCTGATAATTTCATGGGTGTTATTAACAGCCTTGGCATCAGCCTCATTTTCAGAGGATGGTGGGGATGGGGAGCCAGCCGGGGTGTTCGGCGCTTCGCTAGAGCTAGATTCGGCAGAGCAGCAGAGCTCTCAGCATGCGAAGAGGAAGAGGGGGAGGATGGTGGTTCGTTATGGACTTTTGCGGGCGAGGATTGCCTAAGCTTGCCTAGTCTTGCTACGACCTGTCTCTTATACTCAGCTCGTGTATGTATGTTTTTTATCGACTCAAGTGTCCTGGCTTTGTAGAAGGCGAAGAGCGCTTGGTTTATAATCCTTGTCTCGCCTTCGTAAACGAGACGCGCTTCTTCGTTCACCAGTCTAGTGATTTCGCTGGGTGTCCATCTGGCGTTTTTGGCTATAGTTACGTCAGATGGCCCCGCTACTTGGTCGTCTGGGACAAAGGGTTCTTGTGATTTGTCCTTCTTATCAGTCGTCGGTTTTCCTTTCGATGTCTTTTGAATGTCTTTCAGGTAAACTTGGATAGCGTCTCGGTAGGCCTCTTGCTGTCTGATCTTCTTAATGGCTTCCTGCGTCCTATGCGGGAAGGCCTTAAAGAGAGCCAGGTTGTAAAAGCGAGCTTTACCCTCTGAAATCAGTTGCGCCTCCTTCCTTGCAACAAGGGCCACTTCCTCACTGTTCCATCTTGCCTTCTTGACTGTGCGGTTTTTTGCCTGGTCGTGTTTGGAAGGGTGAGCCCTTTTGGTGTGTACACCAAGCCCTGTCTTCGTGTCGAATACTCTGTCGCAACGGGTGCATCTATACGCTGCGTGGTCGTGGGCATGTGGGGAGGACGAGTCAGAGGACTCATCCTCAGTTTTCCGAGGTTTGTTTTTACTTTTTGGGCCAACATGAAGGGGTCGAAGGGGTTGGCAGCCCCAGGGACCCTTAGCCTCCATCCTATTCTAGGATGGAGCTACCAGCGGTCGCCACGAGGAGGCGTCTAGTATGGCACGTCCATGGTTCAGACTGCTGTTGTTGTAGCATGTTCTACTGAACCACAGTTTGTAACTATGACTAAAAACAAGTAAACGAACGTCTCTTCTGTGAAATGGAAAAGGTGAACGCAAGTGATTACGCTCCACTCGTCGTTCGTCTTGTTAGAGTTCAAGCTAGTAGTAGTGGTTTATTAGTGATCTTGTGGTTCCATTCCTTGGCTGGTCAGAGAGTCATAGTTGCTCCCGCGCTTGATTGAATTTCTTCACTTTGACATTCAGAGCACTGGGCAGAAATCACATTGCGTCAACATCACGTTGAGACCATCGCAATGCTTTGTTTTAATTAGGGAGTCGAATTCCCCCGGTCCGTGCCAATTTATTGATAATGATGTGAATTATTAGAGATTCAAATTTTGATTATCTGATTACATTTAATTTTTTACTGTTAGGAAATTGTAAATAACGGGCCTATTTTGTCCGGGTCATTACAGTTTATTAACGAACGACGCAAAAAGTATGAAATGCTACACCAAATTTTACCTATGTCCAATTTTAACGTTGGCCGGACGTTTTTCTAAGACTTCTATCTGACCTTATGATTGGTCGTGTCAGACGATGTTTTTAAAATGTTTCACAGGTCACAAAAGATGGAGATAACGACGGATTGACGTCTTCAATGCAACGTTGAATTTGGTACAATATTATATGACGTCCATTTTACGATTTTTATCTTTCCTCATGATTGGTCGTATTAGACAACGTTTAAAAAACGTTTCAGAGGTCCCAAGTATACCAGAGGACGATAGATTGACGTCATCAATTTAACTTTAAAACTGGTTTTCATTTATTACGTCAAAGTTGAGCTAGATAAAGGTCCTATTTTTTGACCACATATTAAGGACGACGGCACGCCGTAATTTTAACGAAAAATCATTGACGGTCACTTATCTGCACTATATTTGCACTTTTGGCGACGTTGTATTTGGTTGATACGTAGATGCAGGGACATGTATGTGCTACTTGGGTTATTGCTGCGCGGTTATTAATTGAGCCATATTGTAAATTTAAAAGTACCTATTGAAAGTATTATGAAAGTGTTTATTAAACTCTTCATGAATTATTTCCTTGAATTTTCAACCAGCTGATGGTTCATCTCTAGAGAATCGGTTTTGGCTAGTATTTGGCCATTAGGAAAAATAAAACGTTGTAATAAACAAATAATTTTAATAATGATAGTGATGGGGTAAAACCGCTAGCCTAATTTTTGAGGCTTTACAAACAGGAAAACTAATCAATAAAAAAAATGGTTGTGACAATAGAAAACGACGTTACAGCATATTTATTATAATAAAAATTTTCGTTTTGTATTTGACTGTTTAGTCCTCTCTTTTTTGAATTAGTAGCACATAATTTGCCTTTTTTTTTTATCTCAACGACGAAATGGTCAAATATCAAAAATTCTATAAACATTTTTAAGTAGAAATTTCTATAGTAAAAGCTACGCTATAATCGCAGAACAGACAATCTGAACGTAAATGTTAACAATTATACGGCATGTTGCAAAACATTTTCTGATTGACATTGGGAAAAATGGAAATTCTTAACGTTTAATTTTTCCCTTTAAACCGAGTGGGAGCAAAAACCCCCATCCTTTTTGGATAGTGTCATTTGGATCCCCGAATTTTCATTAATTTTATTTGCAGTTTTTTTCCAAAACTGAAACTATAGATGTAATCCAAAAGTAAGAAGTTGAGTTTGAATTTATTACTTGACAAATAGAAGTCTCATAGTCCCTGAAATTTGCGAAACAATCATAGGTTCACCGGCAAGCTTTCGAACACGATGCGTTTTTTTGCTCCACCCCCGCATGAGCTTGGAATTTATAAAATTGCCTATATTTCTTATTATAAATTAAAAAACAAAACAATTTCTACAGAAATGTTTTAGCAACAAAGCCAAAATTACTAGTTTAAGGTGCAAAGCTTTTTTACTAAACCTATTTGGTAATTTTTAACTAATAACTTATTGAATAATTAACTGTGAACTAAACGATTTTAGCTGTTAAATTTAAAAAGAAAGTATGTTTTCCAATAAAAAATTATCTTTTTGTGAGAGCAAGTCTTCCTAAATTGTTAATAACCTTGTGTTTTATGTGAAACGAATTATTATATTCACTTATTTGTTACTGCTGTTGTCTTTTATCTGTAAATGCCAACTTAATATTTTAACGGAATTTGTAACTACAATATGAAGTCGGCTCAAGACCTCACACAACATATCACCTCTAGAAAAGTATCTGCAATGTTATGTACCGGTTATGAATTACAGCGCCATCGTTGAATGAAAACCCAACTAATCGAACATTCTTGACAAAAAGGCGAATTGATTTTTTTCATATATTTTTATTATTTTTAAATAATTTTTAATGTTCAACTGCATTTGGCTTGCTGACTCCTTTTAGCTCTTTTCGCCTCATTTTTTTGAAAACTATATGACTGGCAGGAAGTTTCCGATGTCGATCATAGTGCAAAAAGAGTTAGTAAGTTAGCAAGAGACACGCAGCTATAGGTAGATCGCAAAGTAAATACGAATAATAAATACAAATACGAACGAAACAAAACAAACGAGTGAATACAAAAAAATACGAACAAAAATAAGGGTTTTTTTCAACCAAAACTTTTTGAATTTTCACTTTAACGCGCGTGGGGACTATGGTTTACAACACAATTTAAAAATTCAAATTTTGACTTTTAAAATGACAAAATAAATGACAAAACCAACCAACACAAATCACTGTTCACACCACAGATACCTGTAAATTTCTCTTATCTCCCGACAGTGTCGCCATCGTTGAATGAAAACCTAACTAAAAACCTTCGTCGCGATTCTCCCATTTGAGATATTTTTCTATAGGTGATATGTTCTGTGCAAGACCTTTATCATTATTTAATAAAAATATTTATTGCTAGATTTATTTCTGGAATCAAATCGGTTGTGACATTTATTTAGATTTTATTTGTTAAAATTCTTAATAATCAATATTCCCGTTGTACATCATCCATGTTAAGTAATAATGATATAACAGAACACCAATTAAAGAATAAAATATTAATAAACATTTAAGATTTCAAGCTACGTTAGATGATAAATATGAAAAATGTTAAATGTTTTGTTTTTGTAATATCTATTAAATATGATGGAAATAAACGAAATAAATTGTTATCAGTACAAATTTTTTCAATTTTTTTATTCAAAGATATCAGATATCGCATGGTTATGCTTGGTTTATGGCCCATGTCAGAGGTAACTTTGCTGATAATAGTAGCTGCTCCATGTTAGGATCTATAAGGTGACTAAACTGAAAAAATGCTTTATTTACGACTAATGTATAATGTGCGTATTATATTTGTGATTTTGGCAGTATAATGACATATGTTATTCCTCCAGGGATTAATGACGAGTAGCGGGATTAATGGTCATTATTCCACAAAAGTGTCAGTGTCAAACGTGTAGTGCTTGTGGATTTGTATTGAAAATTATGAGACGGATGAAATTTGTTCATTGAAAATCTCAAATAAATTAATTTGTCGTAAATAAAGTAGAGTATACTACTCGCAATAATGGCTATTATTCCCTCGGAATGTTACTCCCTCGCCGCTAACGCGGCTCAGTTCGTAATAATCCTCGGGAATAATAGCTATCATTATTGACTCGTGGTATAATCTACTATTATTGCTACAAAAATATATCTTTATCATCATCACGAACACTGGAGCTGAATTTATGAACTTGTTCTGCGTTGCCGTCCAACATAAACCATTCAAAACGCCTACAAGCATTATTTACACATATGAGTTTCGCGTTGCTGTTATACTGTTTAAGAAAACCATCAACGCGAAACTCAAATTCACGACTATATAAATACTAAATAGAAATCAGGCCACAACTTATATTGCTAAAGGGGATATATCAAACACTGAATTTCCTATCGGAATGACTTTTCATAGTGCTGGTAGCCATAGCAGTTCTTGTTTTGGTCTATTTAAAAGCCAGACATTGCCGTGAGAACTTGAGATAAATTTTCCGAAGACAGATTTACAAAAATGAACTGAGGTGATCCAAGTTAGAATTGAACTGAGAGGTAGAGGAGCAGCTTCAATTTATAGGTGTTAGGGTTTCTTTTAGGGCAGGCCAAAGATATGCATTTAGCATACCGGTGAGGGGCTTCAAAGCGTTTTTGATTTTGACCGCAGAACTATATGATTTACGGCTTCGCTCGAGACTATTGGCATTGCGTCACGAGCGGGAATCGGCAATCTACAAATTTTTCGCTACCGTACATGTCATCATCGGGATCTTCGCTTAGTATGAATTGTGACTCCAGCATGTCAGAAAATGCGTCGACGTTTCTCTCTGTTTGCGTATACTAGTTCTGTTTTGCCATGGATGCTGATGGGGGTGAGAAGTATCTTTCTACTTTGAAGCCATCTATTTCTAAATACAAACATTGCACCTGGATTTGTGTTTAGGTGTGAAAGAACAATTTATCAGGGCTGAAAGTGACTTCTCCAGGCCGAAAGTGATAGTAAAATAGTCACTTGCGGCCTGCTTCAAAGTAAACGAAACTAAAGTGACTTTTTCGAACCTTCAAACCAGTAAGGAATGTGAAAATTACATATATGGTTCAAAATAAAGTTTAATACATTACACGCTGCAAAAGTCCTGTTAGGTGCTCGGAGGTATTCAAGTAGCCAAGGCTGTGTGTGCTACCTTGCATCTGAAAGTACGCTTTCGCAACTTGGAATGTAAACAACTATTTAGGTTGATCTTCCATAAATACTTATTTTGGGGTGATACGGCGTTCAGGAAATTTCCCACTTCTCATTTGTAGGTATGTGTTTGAATGTGATTTCTGAGGATGTTTGTAAGTCTATTTTTTTGGATGAGTTGCCGAATCGGGT